TGGGATGGGAGGGGATGGGATGGGATGGGAGGGGATGGGAGGGGATGGGATGGGATGGGATGACTGGAGGGGACCAGGGGTGGCTTTGGGTGGGTGTTTTGTGCCTCCCTCATGCAGTGGGTGTTTGGGGAGAACAAAAGCACCCCCTGGTGCTCTCTGCCCAGCTCTGGGGACACTTCACCGTCGGGGCAGGGGCTCTGTCTTGCACGTGAGTGACAGGTCTTGGCTTCCTGTGGTTTCTCTCCGCAGAGCAACGTGACAGAACTCACCACTGGGGTGTCAAAACTCCCCACAGAAGAGCTGAGCAGGGACCTGGTGGCTCTGAGGACCTCGGAGAGGCCACTGAACTCACCCTGCAGCTTTTGCTCTGAGCTCTGGTAAGTTCTGTTTCTGACTAAATTTACTGTGAGTCTTCACAGGGCATAAACCCACTAAATGCTGGCACTGTTTGGGTGTTAACCAGGCCAAATTCTGCTGCAGGCTCAGGCACCACCACTTTTTACCATCACAGTGCAAAAATACCTGTCAGTGAGGTTTCTGCAGGTGTTTCCAAACTTCTGGTTGCAATAAAAAGCTCGTTATCAAATGCAGTGGCTGAGCAGCCCAGGGTCAGCTGCCCAGGCAGTAATTCAGGAGTAGATTCCCTGGCAAACTGCAGTTGGAACAAAGAACTACTGAGGGGTTTTTGCTTTGCTTTTTACATCCCAGAGCAGCTGTTAAAAGTAATCTAAAGGCACTGAATTAAAGGAGATGCTCTTTTAGCATCAGTAGAGAATTTCTTTACGAATCCAAATATTTTTATGGCCATCATTAATACTTATTATCAGGGTTATTTAGCATTCTTTTACTTTTTACATGGTTGCATTACTGGTTCCTTTCAGGTGATTCCATTTGGACATCCCATGGATGGGGAGATCTGTGTGTCTGATTGTTGCTTTAAAACCAGAAAAGCCTCACAACTGACCAGAGTTTAAACACCTTGGGTTTTACATGAGAACATTTCTAATCATTTCATGAGCTCAAAACCCAGTGGGAACTTTGGGGTGTGCTTTTGTGTGCTTGTAAATCAGATAACTCTGTACAGAAACAGAGGTTCAGTGGTGCTTTTTATTTGTCTGGAAGGAAAAACAGCCTCAAAAAAAAAAAAAACCACCTGAACACAAAACAAACCAATTGTGGGGATTTGATTATTTTTTTAAATAAGTAAATCTGTCCACTCTCAGAATGGAAGGTGTAAAATGGGATCCTGTTTCGGGTGGGGAGGGATTTGGGGGATTTGTCTGGTGAGAAGCAGGAGCTCCTTGTTCTCCTTTCACCCTCCCTGTAAGGATTTTGTAGGTCTTACCCCTCCCCAGGTGCAGCCCCACACTCTGAACCTGCACAAGGTGGGTGTTCAGTGGCTCTTGCTCTGCCAAGCTCTGACATAAAGGTCATTTCCAGTCCTGAAGTCATGCCTGGCTTGGTATTAATTCCCCCCCGTGTTTACAAACCCTCTGCTGTGAGGTGCCAGACCTGTGCAAGCAAACCTTGCCTGCTTTTTTTCTGCCTTTCTCGTGTTCCACTTACCTCTGGTGGCTTTGCCTTTGTGAGAAAAACAAGCATGGGGAGGAAACGTGAATTCAGAGTTTCCTCTGGAAAGTACCCAACGACCTCTGTGGCTTTTGTGCTTTCAGTGCCTCGACTTTGGGAGCTTTTTTTGCATGTTGTGGCTGAGTTTAGTTTCTCAAGAAGCTGTGTTTAGTTTGCTTACTCAGATTTCTTTTCTGTTTGATGGGAGCAGCACAGTTGGAGTGCAGTTTGTTGCCTGAGTGACACGAGTGACCTGGGTGAGGAGTCCTGCTTCTGCAGTGCCTCTTTGCCATATTCCAAGCATATAAACCAGTCCTTTAGGCTCCCTTTGGTTTCTTTTCTGCCCACAGAGAAGGTTTAGGGTGCTGTAAATTCATCCCTTGTACACGAACATCAGCTGGCTCTGTTATTGTCACCTTGGGGTGATTTTAGTGCCAGTAAATACTGTCTACTGTGTAAACTCAAATGCTTGTGGTTTAAATGATTTATTTTTTCCCTTCTAGTGGCAGTGCTTTCCATCTGAGCAGCTCTGAAGCACAGACCTCACCAGGCTGAACATCTGTGGTGCAGCTTTAGCTCTCGCTCACCGAGATGAACTAAAACTCCAGGACCTCCTGAGGGAAGGGATGGATTGAGGCTCTCAGCCCATGTTGGATGTCCTCCTCCTCTCCAGCAGAAACCATGGCAGGTGCTTCCTGGGCCTCCAACGAGACAGTTGCCAGCGGCAGCTCAGAGCTCTGGTTGGAAGC